GGCACTTGGCCGGCCGCGAGAAGAGCCGGTGCGCGCGAGGTGGGCCCCGCTCCGGCGCTCGCGCTCGCGGGCAGTGCTGGAGGCCTCGCCGGGCGCGGGCCGAGGTTAGTGCAGAGCTCCCGGGTCCCCAGGGCTCAGCTCCCCTCCGAGGTCCGCCGTAGACGATTCACAGTGTGCCAAGGACTGTGCCAGGCACGAGCGAGGTGGTGGTGAAATAAACACCCAAGCCCCGCGCAGCAGGGAGCACAGACAAGAAAAAGTGAGGCGCCAACATAAATCATATAGGTATAGGTTTTTTTCCTTTGATAGTTTGAAATACATTAGATTTTTTATTCCATCATCTCGGTTTCCGAGGTAAAAGACAAGTTGCCTGGTCTTGATATCATTTTTCATGCATTGCTAAACCACTCGCTAATATCGTCTTTACCATTTTTTCATATTTGTCCATGAGTGTGATTGTGTTATAATTTTGCTTTCTTGCACCGTCGATTTTGCTTTAGGATCGAGTTTGTAATAAATACACAATGAGTTGAGAAGACTTACGTTTTCTTTATCTGGAAGATTATGTATAAGGTCAGAATTTTCTGTTCTTTTTAATGTTTATTGAAACATTAAACATTTGTCTATAAACTCATCCAGGCCTGGGGGTTGCTTTTGTTTGTTTGTCTCATATATTTTTATTGATTTCAGAGAGAGGAAGGGAGAAGGAGGGAGAGAAACATCAATGATGATGGAGCCTGCAACCCAGGCATGTGACCCGACCCAAATCCAGCCTCGATCTGGATCAGGAGGTCGATGCTCAACCGCTGAGCCACGCAGACTGGTGCTTTTCATTGGTTTTGTTTGTTGTGAGATCTTTGAGGGGATAGGATGTCAATTTTAAACTAAGCATTTCATTTCTTTAATGGTTCTAGTTGTAGACAGAATTTCTGTTTTTTTCCTGTCATTTTTACAAGTTATATTTTTTTTCAGGAAATTGTCTTTGTTGATGTTTTCAGAATCATTGGCATAAAGTTGTTAATGTAATGCCTTTATGGGTTTTGTTTATTTTATTTTTTATTTCTTTCTGAATACATTTCAAATACATTTACATATTTCAAAATTCAGAAAGCATCTCTTCCTAAAGTTCCTCTTCCCAGATGCAACTAGAGATACTTTATGAATATTAACAAATATCCAATAAAAACATGTATGTTCTTCTGCTCTCTTTTTTTATTACACAAATGGTAGTGTTATACATAGTGATCTGTATCTTTCTTTTGAAAACCAGAATAGCCATAATGTTTTAATGCTCTGAAAATAATCAGACAACTCTCCCAACAGTGGAAAAGCCAGTTTTGCCTCCATTTGCAAGTTTATTTCAATGTTTTTGATCTATAAATGTATCTGACTTTTGAATTCTCCTTTGAGCTAATGGTAACATCTTACCAGTTCCCTCGTTTAATTAAGGAGTTAAGTGAACTTTATACTTGTATAAAATAAATATGTACTGCCCTGGCCAGGTGGCTCAGTTGGTTGAGCACCGTTTGGTACACTAAAAGGGGGCCATTTCAATTCCTGGACAGGGCACATCCCCAGGTTGCAGACTGGATCCCCAGTAGGGGGCATGCAGGAGACAGACAATCAGTATCACATTGATGTTTCCCTCTCCTTTTCCCACTCTAAAATGCAATTTTTAAAAAAATTAAAAAGAGCAGGCAATTGGAGCAACTACTGGCCTGGAAGCTATCTGTCAGTGTGTGAGCTCCTCTCAGTACCCAGCCTCCACCGCCATCACCTCCATTCATGCCGGCCCTGCCATGCTGGGGTCTCATCACCACTGAGATGGGTGGAACTCTTCAGCCCTGAACCCCCGGGAGCTCAGTGCCCCTGGTTTCCCGCTCATCCACTCAGCCCAACCCATTACTGACTACCCCACCTGGGCCCAGCTGCTCTGTTTGCACCACAGCTGGAGGAGCCAAACAGGCGGGGGCTGCAGGCCAAGTTTTAATCGGAAAGCTGTTCCCAACAGTTATCAAGCCATCAGCTCTGAGTGCCAGGACATCGAGCTGGGATTCTTGACATACCTCCCTCGGAGCCAGGGGAGCACTGGGTCCCAGGAAATGTGCAGCTGTCAGACAATTGATGATGTGTCTGCAAGCAGAGATGAGCTGTTTGCCTTCCACAACCATAGTGCTCACATCTGGAGGTACCCGTGTGCCTGGCAACCACAGCTGAAGCCCCAGCAGTTCCTTGGGATGCCCAGCTGGTCTGCAGGCAGCCCAGAAGAGATATAGAAAGGGGACAACTCTGGACAAGTTGTCCACCTTCCCTCATGCCTGCAGAGATCAGACACCATCAGACCTTCTTATGTCATAGCTAGGGAAACTGAGGCCAATGAGAAAAGGGTGGTGAGACAGTGCGTCCCTTGTGCCAGCTTTGTGGTTCCCCAAATTTGAACTCAAACCCTGGCTCAGACAGCCACCAGTTGTGTGACCTAGAGCATATTTCCTCAACCTCTCTGTGCCTCCAGTTCTTCCATGCACAAGGGCAATACTACCATACTGGTCAAGGGTGTTGGGGGACTAAATAACAGGGTGGGGACCCTATTCAGTGGCCCCTGAACACTATGCTTCTCTTCAAAGCCCTTGGCACACGGCAATCAAATGGCTAATATACAATAATGGTGCATTTAGCGTTATTTAGCCACCTGGAGACTGTAAGGGTGTGGTAAGGGCTTAGGACACAGTTCCTCTTATCTCCCAGTGTCCAGGTCCCCATCCCCAGAAAGCAATAACCCTTGTCCAGCTTCCTGATTTGACTCCACCCAGCACTGGGGACCTAGGTGAGGACCTGGGAGAGCAGGGAGTAGCTAGATAAAGGGATCCCAATGCAACATGCTTGAGGCTTAAGTAGTATTCATTGGCCTGTGTTAGGCACATTCCAGTGTCAAAGTGTCTGAGTCCTTGTTTTACAGGTGAGGAAAGTGAGGCTCAGAGAACTAAGTTAGTTGTTCAAGCCTTGGCATCTACATCCGGGGCCACACCCCCAGCTGGAGTTGCCCACCCTTGCAAAGGAGCCTCCTGGGAATTCTGCACACACCCCAAGGCTCCCAACATGTCTGCATCTCCTCTTCAACAATTATCTTCAGGACTTGCAGCCCTTTTGGAAAAACTCCCCCTTTGAGGATAGATTTCATTGTGGGGAAATTTTTAAAAAATGGGTAAAAAGAGAGGGATAACTGTGCATCATTACCCTGTTCTGAACTCAAGGCACGGCTCAAAGTTAATAAGGCTGCTATTGCAGGAAATCCTGAAGGCAGTTCAGAGAGGTTCTTGAAAGATCTGGAGACAAGACTGTTGAGAAAACATAAAACCACCCTGGGGAACTAATTTAAAACTGGTCAGCAGGCCACGCCTGTTGCAGCAGCTGGGGGAGGAGAGGGGACCAGCAGGAGGGACAGGTAGCTGTGTCAGAGGCAGTCAGGGAATGGCCATCAGCTTGGTCACGTGGGGCCCTGGGCTTCTTGCCAGAGGCAGACTGACCTGGACATAAGGGAAATGGGCGGTGAGAGTGAAATTGCAAGGACAGGCTCAATGGAGAAGAAACTGAAGAGCTAGAGCTAGCGGGACTGGAGGGGTCTAGAAAGGGTCGTTTCTTCTTTCTCTTCTGCTTTCCGGGAGCTAGAAGAGAGCTAGCTGAGTGTCTTATGGGCCAGAGGTAATGGGATGTTGAGTGGAGGAGAGTTATGTCTGCAGAGGTGGGACAAAGGCCAAGGCCAAGGCCCAGGGGTGAAGGAACAAGTAGGGAGATGCTCTCTGCTTTCTTGGGCCCTTTTTGGGCAAGGCCGGTGGTGGGAGTGGAGCTGGACGACTTTGGCCAATGCCCCCAGGCTGGATTCGGTGTGGTATGTGGAAATGATCCCTGTGTCTGTCTCCCTGTCCCCCACCCCAGCCCTTTAGCCTCTGGCCCCGGACACAGGAGAAACTGACCCATGTCTGTTCTTAGCAGGAATGCATTTGCCAGTGGGGTGACAGGGGTGGGAGATGGAGAGCCAGCATCTGACCATAGTGTCTTGTCTTACTAGCTGAGTGTACTGTATTAGTTCTGAAGGCTCCCATAACAAATGACCACAAACTGGGTAGCTTAAGACAACAGCAATGGGGCCCT